TTTAAAAGGATTTTTTATATGTTTTAGTCTTATAAGTAGACGGAAAAACGCTAGCTAGAAATAAATACATGCAGAGATACGGGTTTCGTTGCTACTTCATCTTTTTATATACCTGAAATTTTTCAGAATAAAAATTTTGGAACACAGAATAAATGCAGAATACTACCCAATTATCAGGTCTCAAAGTATAGGCCATGGACACTAGTGATATTTCAAACTCTTTCAGGAGACTACAAATTCAAAACTATTTTCATAATTACAGTATTATTTATCTTTCTCAGTGTATTAAAATTCCTATGGATGGTACTGAAGCCATAGTGTGATGGTGTCCTGGGCAAGAATCTATAAAACTTTCAAATATAAAGCTTAAGAATTACCAACTTTATTAAAATTCAATGTTCTGTGTGATAAAACAAATGTGCATAAAACACTTCCATATACAACTTTTGTATACCTTCCATATACAACTTTTTTGTATACCTAAACTACTTTTTTCAGAAAAAAATCACTGTTTTGTTTTTGTTTTTTGAGACAGGGTTTCTTGTGTAGCCTTGTTTGTGCTGGACTCACTGTGTAGACCAGACTGGCCTTGAACTCACACAGATCTGCCTGCCTCTACCTCCCAGAGGGCTAGGATTACAGACATGCACCATCACACATGGCAGACAAATCATTCTTTACTTCAAAGATTGACAACATTCTTATTCAAACTTGGGTACCTGGCAAAAATATTTGTGTAAAGGAATAAAGTGAGACTGTCACTGTCAGCTAATTTCCTTACGGCATTTGGTGCCAATGAGAAAAACAAAATCAACTCTTGCAAAAACTAAAATTCTGGAGAATTTAATTTATTACTGTGAACATGACTGCTTTCTAGTACTATCAAAATTTTTTGGTTTGATGATGTTATTAACAAGATTTTTGATTGAGCACAATGAACTGAGTCACATTAAAAATACCTGCATAACAAGAGTGACTAGTATATTTTCCAAACGGCCAACATATATAGAGTTATAGGTAAAATGCCTATTCAAAACATAAGGGAAGCCAAGTGGTGGTGGCACACACCTTTAATCCCAGCACTTGGGAGTAGAGGCATGTGGATCTCTCTGAATTCAAAGCGGCCCGGTCTACACAACCAGTTCCAGGACAGCCAAGGTAACATTGAAAAACCCTGTCTAGAAAACAAACAAACAAACAAACAAAACATACGGGAGAGTAACAGATTCTAATGTAACAGTATGAAAGGCTGACATACATGCGTTAATCTTTAAGAAATTCAAATTTAGCCAGGCGGTGGCGGCACATGCCTTTGATCCTACTAGCACTTGGGAGGCAGAGGTGGATCTTTGAGGTTTGGCTATCCTGGTCTACAAAGCAAGTTCTAAGATAGCCAAGTCTACACAGGAAAACCTTTTCTCAAAAAAGAAAAGACAGAGACAAAAAAGATTCAAATTTAAGTTTTGGTGTAGTACACCAAATATTTGAAAATCATTTGAAAAGGTTATCTAAAACACAACCATATTGTATGTCTACCTTTGATTTTCTTCAAATATTTCAAACAATTTAGCACAACAAAATATACTGAATGCAAAGACAAGAGAATTCAACTGTTCTCTGCTTCTCTACCTGCCAACCCAGGGTCTCACATAGATAATCCTGGCTGGCCTCAAACTCATATTTCTCCACCTTTGCCCCCCCAGTGCTGGGATTAAAGGCAGGAGCCACCACACCAAGGTTTGAAGTGTCTTTTTTTTTTTTTTTAAAGAGCTTGCCTTTACAGGGAGTCACAAAAATAAAAGTAAAACAATGTTATTCTTTCTACATTTTTTGTTTGAAATTAAGTTTTCAAACAAACTATGTTACCCTGTCACTGGTTTAATTACTTTAGTAGATAAATAAATAAATAATTTGGGGTTTGTTTAACGTTTCTAATCTGTGGGTTTTTTTTTTTTTTTCCTCTTTTACCATGCTTATTTGACACAGGGTCTTGCTATGTGGCCCAAGTTGGTCTAGAATTTGTAATGCTCCTGCACCAGTCCCCCAATTGCTAAGAACACAGATGTGTGCCGTCACACTTGGCTCTAACCTGATACATACTGATAGCAGCCATGTAATTAAAAGCTCTTTGGGGTCCTCAATAATTTGTTAATAATGTAAAGTGGTCATCCCTAAATACACATACATATGAGCAAATCTAAAGAACTCAGCAAGAAATTTATATATACGTATGTACTCTTGTGTGTGTTTATCAGTAAGTAAGGAAGTCATGATGTTGAGGAGTGGGATAGTACAAGACAGAGAGAGAAAGGGATAGGCAGAAATTATGTAAATATAGTCCTTATATACAGAATCCTCTACCCCCAAAATAAATAAATGTTTAAAAAAATGTAGTGATTGAGACCTCCCCTGCCCACTGATAAATACTGCTCTGAAAACTAACATACTTCATAAAGAATTTTATAAGAACTAGAAGTGCATCTAAGCAGCTGTAATTACTTTGAAGATACCAAATGGGCTTTTTACAAAAGTAAAAGAAAAAAGTAAGACTATAAAAATATATTTACATTCTAGCTGTGTAAAATTAATTCAACTGGCAAGAACAAAGGTGCAGACAACTTTAACTCAGATTTATAAGAACAAAACACAGCAAGCTTTTTAAATGTAAGAAATATTCTCAGTAACTGAGCTAGGCCATAATAAGTTACATGCCACAATGACTGAAAATGAAGGTGGACCACAATCACAACCTTATAGCACACATGAAAATCCACTCAAGGCAGGCAGTGGTAGTGCGCACCTTTAATCCCAGCACTGGGGAGGCAGAAGCAGGTGGATCGCTGTAAGTTCAAAACTAGCCCAGTCTTATACAAACCAAATTCCAGGACAGCCTAGACTGTTACACAGAGAAAACCTGTCTCAAAAACAATCACTCAAAATAGATCAAAAACTAAAAAAAAAAAACACTTAAGGGGGAAATATTTTGAAAACCTACACCGAATTTGGCAATGAATTCTTAGCTATGACATCAAAACCACAAACAACAATTAACAACAACAAAAAATAAATAAAACAATTGGGTTTCATCAAAAACTTGACAAAGGGGAGCAACATAAAGAACTGGACAAAATATTTACAAATTATGTATCTGATAAGGAATTCCTTTTTAATTAAATTTCACAAAACACTGCAAATCAAAAAAAAAAATACACCAAAAAAAAAAAAAAAAAAACTAGCCAAGAGTAGTGAATTTCTCTTATACAGAATAGATTAGAATAGAAATTCAATGCTTTCTAATCACCTAACATTTAGCAATTATTTTTCTCTTTCCTACATGTTATACTGTGTCCACAAGAACATCTGTTTACATATATACATATATTATTAGCTAATCTTCAAATATAAGAAAAAATATGGTTCTTTCTTTCTGAAATTATATGACATCAACTAATATACATTCTAATCTAAGTCCATCTATCCCCTACAATTATTTATCCCCCACAAGACAGGGTTTCTCTGTGTAGCCTTGGTTGTCCTGGATTCACTTTTATAGACCAGGCTGGCCTTGAAATCACAGAAATCCACTTGCCTCTGCCTCCCTGAGTGCTGAGATTACAGGCATGCGTCACACCACCCAGCTTATTATAGTTTTCTTTACAGCTGAATCGTATTCTGGTTTTTTATATATAACAAATGTCCATTCATCTCTGATGGACAACTAGGCTAATTCCAATTCTTTGCTGCAGTGAATAAAGCAGCAATAAACACGGGGGTACAAATATCTCCATAGCAGGGTATGGAGTTCTTTGGGTATATGCCCAGGAATGAGACAGCAGGGTCATAGGGCAGTTCTATTCTTAATTTTTGTGTTTTGTTGGTTTTGAAAAATCTACTGAACTTTTACAACTAAGAAAAAAAATCCTTAATTTTAAAAAGGGCTAAAAAGACTCAATTAGAAATTTCTCAAAATACAGACAAATGGGCTAGGGAGATAGCTCAGTCAGTAAAGCACTTGCCATACAAGTGTGACCAAGCAGAGTTCAATTCCTACTTCCATATAAAAGCTGGGTACAGCAACACATTATAATCCCAGTACTGAAAAGGTGGAAACAGAGGAGTATCCCTGGGCTTTGCTGGCCAGTAGCAATCTAGCTGAATCAGTGAACTGCAGGTTGAGTGAGCTTCTCTCTCAAAAAAATAAGGTAGGAACAACAGAGGAAGATAGCTAATACGGTTTTCACGCATCTACAGGCCTGGACACACAAACATATGAAAGCATACAAACACGACATATATACACACAAAATGACTAATAAGTTTCTAATTCAGTAGTCACTATAGAAATGAAAATCAAAGTACTAGTTTATACCTATTATGGTGGCTATTATTTAATATATTTATTTATTTTTGTAACAGTATCTCACTATTGGCTGGCCTTCTACTCACTATGGAGACCAGATTAGCTTGGGTCAAATTCACAGAAATGTGTCAGCCTCTGCCTCTGAGCTACTGGAATTAAAGGCATGAGCCACAACCAGCCAGTAGCTTTTATCTAATAGTAAATGTTGGCAAAACACCCAGAAGATCCCTGACTTATATATGTTCAATCTAAGGATTACATGAAAGCAAATGGAATTCAATAGAAACTGTATTTTGAATTTTGGTCTTTTTCTGGACTAGCAGTATGTGGCAGAATACTATTACAAGACAGAACAGCAGTAAGACTCAGCTCCCAACTAGCTTCTTGATGTCAGTTCAAACAACCAATATTTTAGAGCATGGAAAAATTACTTTCAATGATATACAAATCTAAATAGATAGATATAAAACCACATTTTTTTACAGTATATATTGGTTTTTAAAAAAAATTAACAGATAACCTGTGAGAAACACTGCCACAATGGCTTGCTGGCAACTTCCCAATAAAAAATTAAAGGTTGAGCCCTCTAATGATAAATAAGTAATTTAAAAAAAATCACCAATAGTAGTGCTTTACTTACCCGTTTGGGGCCACTAAAAATCTTTCTGGTATTTTCCTTGGATTTATCTCCTTGTTTACTTATGGGCTTCTTCACACTCTCAGGCACACCAGGCAAGTCCTCTGTAAAATCCAAGTTTTCTGAAATGGTAACCAAAACTAGCTAGCTTTCCAGTATTTCAAGTTATCAGAAAACTTAAGGCCTTTTTAAAAATGTATTGTTGGAGAAAAAAAAAATAAAGCATTAAAAGTAGTAATGACTGATAAGGTACTCTAACCCTCACCCTCGACTTCAAAACCTGGCTGTTACATGTGTGCTTTAACTGTATTTTGTGTTAACAGCAATATCAAACATTTTCTTTTAGTGAGAATGGCCTGGACTTCATTATCTATTCCAAAGTGGGCTCAAACTCATAGCAATCCTCTGGCTTCAGCCTCCCAAATATTAAAATTACAGTCAGGCATCACCATGCCTGGCTTAAAATTTTTTCCAAAACAAAATTGAAACTTCATAGATCGTGTAACTGCCAGATATCTACAGATACTGACTCTGGTAAATAATTTATATGAACTCTTAAAAACAACCACTGTTAAAAAGACTTATTTATGTACATGAGTGTTTTGCCTACATGTATGTATGTATGTGAACCACATGCCTGCCTGTGAGCCTGCAGAGATAAGGCATCATATCCTCTGGAACTGAAATTATGAATGGTTGCGAACCATGATGTGGTTCCCATGATGTAAACCCAGGCTCTATGCAAGAGCAACAACAAACATGCTTAACCACTGAGCCATCTCTCCATGGCTCAGTTAAAAAGCCAAATATCTGGGTACAATGGCACATTCCAATACTCCTAGCTTGGGAGGCTGAGTTAGGAGGAAAATAAAACAACAAAGATAGCTATCTTTGGCTAGTAGAATGCAGTTCAATGACTTGTAAGTATTCACATAAAAACTACTGAAGAATTAGACTATTTCCCAAATGGTTATAAACACTTTCTTCTAACTTAAGGAAGACATTTCTCTACCTCAACTTTTAAAAATGATTACTGGTTCACACATTACTTAAGACTCAATTGCAACTTGGTGTTTCTCATCCAAGAGTTCTCTAGTTTTCAAATGTTATTGTCAACTTCCTTTCTCTTGTATTTATGGTTGTGAGCCTAGCCTTTAACGGCTGAGCCATCTCTCCAGCCCAACAACTTCATTTCTCAAAGTGAGTATTTTTTTTCACATTTCAGAATTTAAATTATTCCAAGATGTAAAAACAGAGATGTTAAACTGCAGATGAGAATAATAACTTGCTATATATAAGTGAGCCTTAAAAGTCAAATAAAGGCTTGGCACATGCCTTTAATCGCAGCACTCAGGAGACAAGAGGCAGGCAGATCTCTGTGAGTTCAAGGCCAGCTTGGTCTACAGTGCAAGTTCCAGGACAGCCAATGCTACAGAGAAACCCTGTCTCAAAAAAAAAAAAAAAAAAAAGTCAAATAAACTGCAGCAGGACAACAGTGCAGGTACTGCACAGCATTGCATGACAAATTGCCAAGTGTCTAGTGAGGCTGCTGCAAACTGTGATCTTCTAGAAGAGGTTGATGACAGCACTGAATAAATTTTGGATATACTTTCTTTTTGAGGTGGAAGGGGGTGAAAAAGGCTCAAAAAGCTCCTGTTTCAATTCCATTTTAAAACAAAAGATGAATCTCACCTGGGGTTGAGGGTGTACTCAATGGTAGAATATGCCTTTCCTGTACAAATCAACCTCCAAAACCAAAAATTGTAATTCTAATCAAGTAAACTATTTTTAGGTCCAATAAAACTAAGCAGCAGGTAATGTCAAGTATGCTGTATCTATTTGAGACTCTTAATTCACAAATACTATGAAAATTCAATTCATCACAATTAAAAACTTCTATAACCTTGGCAGGACAAAAGCTTTTTTTAAACAAACCATTCTAGAAAAGCTGTATTTAGTTGACAAGACCCTTTACTCCAGAAGCTTCCACAAATTCTTGCTCCCTCAACAGTGAATCCTCTACACATAGCCCTAGTCAAGTAAAGGCTTAATTACAGCAGAACTAACCTATTTTATTTGTCTATACCTAGCTCTCACTAGACTCAGCTCCTAAGAGCACCTTATCATTGAGCCTACAATCTTTATATATATATATATATGTATGTATGTATGCATGCATGCATATATGATGCATGCCAGAAGAGGGCACCAGATCTCATTATAGATGGTTGTGAGCCACCAAGCAGCTGCAAGAATTGAACTCAGGACCTCTGGAAGAGCAGCCAGTGCTGCTGAGCCATCTCTCTAGCCCCAGAGCCTACAATCCTGAGACAAATTTTCATTATTAAAAGAGAATACTTACCTACTAGTATTTTTTAATCTTATAAACCACAATTTAAGAGGCTGAGAATGTTTTAAATGTTTTTTATAGCTTTGTGTTACTTATAAAAGGTTTTATTAATTTCTTTTGAATATTTCCCCCATTAAAACCATCTGTTATCAGTACAGTTCTAAATGTCCAGAATTTATCCTTATGTCTGCATTGCATTTGGATTTTCAAAACTAAAACAAGATGTTTGGTACCTCTATCCCAAAAACTTAACAGCTTAAAATCATAAATTAACATGCTCTGGCCAAGGGTTGTATTTCAGTGAGAGAGCTTGCTTATTATGTGTGAGGTCCCAGATGGAAGCCCAATTCAAAACCAAAAATTTTAAATGATAGTCACCAACTTAATACATGTAAGACTCCCTAGTCTACCTTACAATTTAAGACTTAATCATTTACATGTAAAGTGCTATACCTGTGCATAAGGCAATTTATGGGTTCTAAATACATGCTTCTACTTAAGTGTAATATAACAAATTAAGGCTTGAGAGATGGCTCAGTGGTTTTGCTGCTCTTCCCAAGGATCTGAGTTCAGTTCTTGGCATCCAAGCCAAAGTTCTAAGGGATCCAATGCCTCTGGCCTCAGAGAGTACTTGTACTCATACGCACATAACCACACGCAGGTACATACACCTACATAGAATTAAAAATAAATTCCATGTGTGTGTGTGTGTGTATAACACAAAAAAGCTTAGTATCTAGGGAGAGGCTAGCCTTTGATTAAAATCTGAAAAACAAATTATAATACTAAATATACATTGTAATATTATATACACACATATCTTACAGTTCTTACCTGCATTATTAGTACTAGACTGACTATCCGGCAAATTGTCGCTGCTTTCAGGAGGAGGCTGTAGGGAAGGTGTTGGAGCTGTTTTAGTTCTTTTTTTGTCTTTTTTTCTTTCCATTTGACAGTCGTCATCGTCATCTTCACTTTCACTGAGATCGTCAAAGCCAAAATATTTAATTTTGTAATTAGAACTTCCAGAACCCCCTTCATCACCTCCTGTCTCATCATGATCTTCAAAACCAAAAAATTCAAGTTTAACATCCTTTTTGGATTTAGTATTACTAGGTCGAAATCTAGTAGTGGTCTTAGAAGTTGCAATATCTGCCTTTTTTCTGAGCCGGCCAGCCTCTCCTAAATCTGCAGGAGTGGATGCCGTGAACTCATCCATACTCCGTTCCATAGTATCCTGGATGGTAACATTACAAACTGACAAGCAAGATGGATGTAAAACAGTGTAATCTCTAGTCCGTCCAACTGTTCCTCTAAAACTGGTCCCACAACTTACACCACCTTTCTTTGCCTGATTCAGGCCATCTTTACTTGATTCACTGTTTGCTTTGGCTAAGGCCTGACTGGTGCCATCCATTAGCTTATCGAAATTTGATGCTCCCTGTGAAGATTTCGCTTTATTGGCCCTACAGTACGTCCTACAGTTGTTTGGCCTAAGAACACTTTGTATAATATCTTCTTCAAAGGCTTCATTTAGATTTTCCAATCGATTTTTTAAATCTTCATCCTTCATCTCCAAAAGAGAATCATTATCCAACCTTAAAATACAGTCTTCTGATTTGACATCTTCAAAATCATTATCCCATTCATATAAACCAGTTTTTACAGATCCTTTGACTGGACAACTTTCGGATGGAGATTCTGATCTTTTTCCAGATTGGGAGTTCCAAGTATCATTTGTTTCCTTAATTTCATCAGCTTTATATTCAGAAGCCACTATGGTTTCTGCATTGGGTTTCTTAGTACTATCTTCAGCATTTTTGTGAAAATGGTGACTATTTTTTTCAGGTTCTTCACTAAGATTCTCCACTTTATCTATAAAATGAAAATGTCAGGTTAAAAACATGAATGTCATCAGTATGCAAATAAACAAACAGCAGAACAGTATCTGAACAGTAGTGCAGAATAATCTCGAAATAGCTGCAAAAACTTCAAATTATATATTTAAAAAGTGTTTACAGGTATTTTTTTATTTGCTTTCCTACCTTTGTCAGTATGTACAGCTGCCATGCCCATGGGCACCCAATCCTCTTAAAACTGTTACGTTGAACTCAGAAGAGATTCTAGCATTATTAAGAAACTTAGATGACACTTTTACTTTCAAGTAACTATGCTTAAATTAGGAAGTATTTAGTAGAATTGAAACCCATGTAACAATGAATGAAGACCTTTCGGGGGTTTTTGTACTAACCTAAAAATATAGTATATTAGTTTTGTCTAGAAACCTGCCTACAGGAAGCTTCTCTGGCTATTTCTGCATTTCTTCTAATCCCAAAAGCCACCACTACCACATGATTTTTAACAATGGCTCTGATACCTATATAACCTATAGTGTCTATTTATGAATATCAACCAGTATTGGAAACGTAACATGACTATTTTATATGTAAGGAATTCATTTTGTTGCTTTATACTTTTATCATCAGAAGCAATTACTTTTTTTACCTTCCAAGTAAAAAATGGCAATATGATTCAAAGAAATATCACCAACAAATATTTATTCTATGTCAAATAATAAAACTGCCTGAAGAAAAGCTATTTACAAATCTTTTGTTTTGTTCTGAAACAGAGTCTATGATGCACCCCTGGCTGTCCTGGAGCTCATTATGTAGACCAGACTGGCCTCAAACTCAACGAGATCTACCTGCCTCTGCCTTCCAAGTGCTGGAATTAAAGGTATGTGCCGTAACACTCAGCTTATTTACATACCTTAATGAACAGTTTCAAATACAGTCGAAAAGAATGTTTTACATGCATGAATTCACTATATAATTTTTGATGGTACTCAGTGAGTTTAAATGTAATTTGATTATGTCACAGGCCTGTAATCCTAGCAAGAGGATTCCAAGTTCATGGCAAGCCTGGGAAACTTAAGACACTTATTCAAAAAGTAAAAACAAGTATACTAATTGAATTCAGTGGTAGAGCATCTGCCTAACATGCATGAAGCCCTAAGTTCAATCACTAACAATCCATCAATCATTTAGCTAAGATCCATACTTGCTTACCTTTAGGAGACACCTAATATGTAACAAAGGTACACATTTTATTCTTACATACTTTCCTCACTGTGGACAATAACTAGAAATATCAATCAGCAATCCTAAAAAGCTAAAAACCATGACATGAGACACTTTGAAGGGCCATAATAAGCAAAGTCAAGTCTAAAAGTAAACCTACTCTTTCTATAAACGAAAAGGGTACTGGTAACTGAGTCTAGGAGTGTGATACCAAGGTTAAGCTAGTTCTACAGATCTCCTGCCAAGAGTACTTTCTTCTGAAGTTTTCCTGAGAACTTCAATTTCCTCCTGTGTTCGGCAGAGAACCTTTAAGCTTATCTACTTCAAAGTGCCAGAATGAATTACTGGAATAAAAGCCTCTGTTCAGTAAATATCTGATGTGCTTAAACTATATACCTGTCTACAAGATGTAACTAAGTTAAACTACCTCATTTTTACTGATTTGGGTATGTGTGGGAACACATGTGCCACGATGCAGTGAACCAGCTCTCTAACCATCAACTCATTTTTATAGTTGTATAGTATTCCACTATTGGGACTTCATGGGGGTAATGTGTTGTATTATGTTTTGGTTTTGGTGTTAAGTTCTCATTATGTATTACTGGTTGGCCTAGAACTTGCTATGTAGAACAAACAGGCCTTAAAATCATGTACATCTACCTGCCTCTGCTGAGATTATATGCTACCTCACTCAGCTTGTTTTTGTTTTTTGAGACAGGGTTTCCCTGTGGAGCCCAGGATGGCCTCAAACTAGTGATCTTCCTGCTTCATGTGCACAATACCTGGCTTCTACTATCTTACTATCTCAAAAATGAATACTTTCTATTTTAGGTATAAACATTCTTCTGATTTAAAGACAGATCTAGCTGGGCGTGGTGATACATGCCTGCAATACCAACACTCAGGGAGGCAGAGGCAGGCAAATCTCTGAGGCCAAAGGTCTACAAAGCCAAGGACAGGAGAGCCAAGGCTACAAAGAGAAACCCTGTCTCGGAAAAAAGACAAATCTAAAAATAAGCTTTATTATAGTTTTAAAAACATTATTTTATTGGCCTCATTTCTCCTGTACTCAGAGTCTGTATTGTGTTTATGCATTTCAGAAGTTGCCTTTATGTGATTTAAAGAGTAACTGCTGCTAGCCTAGCTTTGTAAACATGTAAGGAAGAGTGATAGTTCTGTAAGGAAAGTTTCAGCATTCATCGTTCAGTAAGGAAATAGTATACAGTAAGTTACTAGCAAACAACCCATGTTATAGCTAAAGAAAAAGTGAATTATTACTTTAGTACATTTTTAAACTTCTAAAATGTTACACAGTAGGTAAAAGCTAATCAACAGACTTGCACATAAGAAAACCAGCCCAAGTTCTCCACAGCAGTATTTTAGCATGTAAAATATGTGCTGTGCTTCTCTATTATCTAACTTCCCAACAACAAAAAAAATCTTGACTTGCTTTTTAAAGGTTATTACCATCTTATCCAAAACTGCAGATTGCAACTACTTTTAACTGTCCTCCCACATCAAAACCAGTTTCCTAACAGGTAAAGTCATTTGTACACAAGTTCCAGTGGAGGAGCAAGGGGGCAATATGATGACTAGTTTTTTGTTTGTTTTTAAATCTTCTTTAATATAATGCATACCGCTGCAGCTTCCCCACCCTCCATTCCTCCAGATCCACTTAAGATCATCCCTCCAGAAAATAGAAAGATTCAACCAAACATGGCACAAGATACAATAAAACTAGGCACAAACCCTTACATTAAGGCAGGGCGAAGTAGTCCAGTAGTAGGAAAAGGGTCCCAAAAGCAGACAAAAGGTCAGAGACAACCCCACTCCCACTGTCAGGAGTCCCCCAAAACCCAACTATTACATACATGCAGGAACACAGCACAGACCCATTTGGCAATTGCCTGTGTGAGCCCTGCTTAGTTGTTTCTGTAGGCTGTGCTCTCCTGGTATCCTGGACCCCTCTGGCTCCCACAATTCTCCCTACCTTCTGTGGAGTTCCCTACGGACCCAATGAAGCGGGTCCAACCTGGGCTCTCTCTCTTTGGATGGCTAGTTTTTATGTCCACTTGATACAAGCTAGAATTATCTGAAAGGAAGGAAGCTCAAGTAAGAAAATATCTCCATAAGGCTGGACTGTTAAGCAAGCCTACAGAACATTTAGTCAATGATTAATTCCCAGGCCTGTCCCAAAAAATAAACCAGTAAGCAACTTAAATAAACACACAGGCCAGCAGCCAGGCATGGCAGTGCACACCTTTAATCCCAGCCCTTGGGAGGCAGAGGCTGGTGAATCTGTGAGCTCCAGGTCCGTCTGCTCTACATAGAAAGTTCTAAGACAACCACGGCTGTTACACAGGAAAACAAAACAAATCAAAAGACACTGGTCAGCAAGATAGCTCAGTGGTTAAGAGCATTTGTTGCCAAGTTTGAAGACTTAAGTTTGATCCCTGGGACCTCTGTGATAGAATTAACTCCAAGTTATCCTTTTGACCTCCATGAATATACACACACACAATTTTTAAATCCTTCTGCCTTATCAAAGGGTCAGTTTGCTGAGCGCAACTGGCATACACATGTAATCTCAGCACTTGGGAGAGGCAGAGACAGGCAGATTCTCTATAAGTTCAAGGTCTACAAAGGACAGCTAAGGCTATACAGAGAAACCCTGTCTCAAAAAAACTAAACAAACGGGCAGTTAAATGGTATCAGGTGTAAGGACACAAGCCTGGTAATACCAAGATTGTGAATCAGGCTTGTGAATTCAAAGCCAGCATGTTACACAGTGACTCTATCTCAACTCTCATTTCCTCTAGGAAGATTACATGACTACTTGTCCTTGACAGATTCTTAATTTTATACCAGAAGCCCTGTCTCTAAACAAATTGTCCATTAGAAGAAAATAGTTGCTTGCCATGGTGGCACCCAAGCACTTGAAAGGTAAAGGCAAGAAGATTAGGAGTCATGGTCATCCCACCTACACAACGGGAAAATATGAGGCTGCTAAAAAGGACAAGGTTTATCTACAAATACTGTTTGATGTACATCCTAAAATTATTTTTTAAATGCAATAAAGGCATAATATATCATAAATACACACACAGCAATATTTTATCTCACAATGTGTGTATGTTTTGAAACAAGACCTCACTGTGTAACCAAGGCTGACCTGGAACTATGTAATCTGGGCTAGTTTCAGATTAAGAGATTATCCTGCCTTACTGCCTTAAATGCTGGGATTATAATCATGCTACTACACTCAACAAGTATGAGTTTTTAGAGACATAAACAGTGTAGAAGTTGATGGGGGGAAGGACAGATTAGGGCTATAGTTCAATGATGGAATGTGCATACATATATTCAAGGTCTTGGGTTCTAGAACCAAAAGAGAAAGTATTCATGGATTCTGAAGTGAAGATAAGTTACTTTTCACTGTCAAGAAACATGTAGATATCAGTTACCTAAAAAGCCACAGAATGAACCATTATTAGTGAACTAGGGGCTGGGAATATAGCTTGATTGATGGACAGCTTGCCAAGCATGTACTAGGCCCTGGGTTCAATTTCAAGCACTGAATTCAGGAAGAGTGGTGCATGAATGTAATGTTAGCACTCGGGAGGGGGATAGGAGAATCAGAAATTCAAGGTCATTTTCTTTTACAGAAGGATTTTGAGGCCACTCTGGGTTAGAAACTGTCTAATAGATAAATAAGCTCCCAACTTCCTCAGTGAATAGACTTTATATCAAAATTTGAAAGGTAAATTCTCTTTCAACTGGAATATAAAATATACT